GTACGTGAATTGTTCCTCTCCTAATTCGGCGCCTTCTCACTACCGGATCCAAGAGGGGTACTTGCTTGTCCACACACGGGGGAAGGACCTTCTTTGCGTACCGAGTGACTCTCACTTGCGTACACGGCTTCTTGGTGAGTTCCACGATGCTCCCGCCACCGGACACTTTGGAGTCAATCGCACGATTGGCCGACTTCGCGAGCGATTTTGGTGGCCCAGCCTTTTCGACGACGTCACACGCTATTGCGAGTCATGCAAGGTTTGCCGACGCTGCAAATCCCGCAACCATCGTTCATACGGCGAGTTGCGACCATTATCGGTCCCCTTGCGGCGAAGGGAAGCGATTGTCATGGACATTACCGGCCCGTTCCCCAAGCACAAGACCGGCGTGGATGAGATTCTCACGGTGGTCGACCGACTCACCAAGTTCGCCATGTTTTTGCCTTGCCGCTATCATGCCAAGGCACAGGAGTTGGTCGAGGTTCTCTACGCCGGTTGTATTCGAACCAAGGGTTACCCCAAGGAAATCGTCTACGACCGCGACACTCGGTTCATGTCCGATTTTTGGTTGGCGCTCATTAAGCAATGGGGCTCATCTCTCAAGCCCAGTTTAGCTCGCCACCCCCAGACCGATGGCCAAACGGAGAGGGCGCACCAGACCGCACAGGTTCTCCTTTTTAGGATTTTAAAAAATCAAAAACAAAAATTGATTTAAACATAATTAAAAAAATATATATAAAGAAAAGCTGAATTTTTTTTTTGACATTTTTTATCATGAGATATATGGTCACTGAGTACCCTGTATTTTTTTTAGAAATGGATTTGTTTTTTTTTAAGGGAAATGAGGTGTTTTAAAAAAAACAAAGATGCGAAATTTGAAAATAAATAAACAAAAAACTTAAAAAAAGGGTTTTGATTGATTGATTGATTGATTGATTGATTGATTGATTGTGAGTGAGTGAGTGAGTGAGTGAGTGAGTGAGTGAGTGAGTGAGTGAGTGAGTGTGT